GGGGGGGGGGGGGGCTCGCGCGCGCAGAGAGTCGATCGCGCCTGCAGCCCAGGGTGGGCGTACTCCTCGTCGCTCCACGTGCCCATTCCCGCACTCTTTGGCGCGGACTTCATCGTCGGCTTCATCACGTACAGGTGCTCGCCTGCGCCACGTACAGTCACACTCTGAGGCATGCTCTGTCACAGCTCCGGCGGCGGCCGCTCCCAGGCATGCTCGCCGTGACGCGCCGTCTCTGTGGGGTCCGAGGTGGCGTTCACGCGCGCGTCGGAGAGGGCAAAGACACGCTCGTTGACCAGGAGGAGCCTAGCAGTCACTCCTCTCGTTCCTCCGAGGTGGCGTTGATCGAGGGCGCCGCTCGACGAGGAGGAGCCGGCGCAGCAGCGCGAGCCCCGCCTGCGCGACGGGCATGCGCGGGGGTTGTGCACCGAGTGGCTGCTCCCTCCCTCTCCCTCCGTCTCTTCCCTCCTCGTTTCTCCCTGCCCCCCACCCCTCTCGAGGTGCGCTGAGGCGCCGGGCCCCACGGGACCAGTCCTACACTGCAGCCCACCGTCTCTGTCGCAAAGGGGTACTGCCGCATCCGGTCCTGGAAATAGGTGCACTGGCCGCCGCCCATGTCGTACACCATGCCGTCCTCGTCGAGCCGCGCCTGAGGCGGGTGCGTGGGGCAAGGCTCGCCGCGAAGACTCCCTCTCGCCCTTCCGCCACAGCCTTCTCCCGCCACTCCTACGAATAGCCCTCCCCGCGCACCCCGCCCGGCACGTCCTCGCCCTCGCCCAGCGGCCGGTGCGGGTTGCGGCCAGCGGAGCCGAAGCGTGACGGCGCGCCCTTTGGGTTGTACTTATAGCCGGTAGCCTCGGCCAGTCGGTCGACTGACAAGTCCCGGCCCCGGTCGACAGAGTAGTCCTTGTCGGGCGGCGGCGCCCGCAGCGCCGACCTTGAGAGGTCGGCGGCGCCGCCGTGACGCGGCGGCCCACGCGAGTCGAGGCCGCCGCCCGCACCGCCGCCGCCGGCGCGGAGCGGCTCGCGCTGCTGCCGCGGCGGCGGCCTGTCGACGAGGTCGCTGAGCGACTTGCCTTGCGACTCTGCGCCGGCAGCTGGCGCCGGGACCTGGTTTCGGCGGTGCGGCGGGACGTACGGCATGGACGCTGGCCTATGCCACCCAGGTAAGGCAGGCGGCCAAGCGGCGTTGGCCGACGTGATTGCGATTTATCGTACCAGGGAAGAATTCTTGCCTCTAAAGCCACTAAACCGCCAATGGCAGTTAGCGGACGTCGCCGCGGCTCGTCTCTGCCGCGGCGGCTGCTGCGCGCACGTGGTGGCGCCGCTCTCTCGCGAGACGGCTGGCGACGCGGCTCGCGGCCGACGTACGCTGCGCTCGTCCGACCGCCCGCGGCGTGGCGTGCGCGGCGCTGCGCACCGCTCTGCGAGCGCTTTTGTGCTGCTTTGAGTAGAGTCCACTGTATATGAGCTGCTGCCTCGCTGCTGCGAGTTGACATATCCGGTGATGTGCGAGCGTTCCGTTCGTGCGTCGACTGGCTCCCGGTTCGAGTCGCCGGGGGGGAGGGGGGGGCCTCCTCGGCCTCCTCGGCCTCCTCGGCCTCCTCGGCCTCCTCGGCCTCCTCGGCAGCCTCGGCTGCTTGGCGCACGCGGCGCGCGAGCCGCGCCGCGCTGCCTTTTTGCTCGCTGCCTCCGTTGTCGGCTCGGCCGTTCCGTCTCCTCGCTCTGGCTCGGGCCGTGGGCGTGCTGCTGCTGCTGCTTGGCACTGTTGTCGCCATTTTCAATATCTCTCTCTCTGCTCTCTCTCTCTCTGCTCTCTCTCTCTCTCTGCTCTCTCTCTCTCTCTCTCTCTCTCTCTCTCTCTCTCTCTCTCTCTCTCTCTCTCTCTCTCTC